AAACGCCAACTGAACAGGGCGTCAGTACTACGATAGATGACGCATGGGTATAAAATGGCAGTCAATATTAAGGCTACTCAACATATATAATATATAAATTATAATCATATATTTACCAGAGACACCATTGCCGCAAACATTGTACCACTGCGGAGGTTGAAACAGCAACAACAGTAATTCATAACCGCCATTTTGTCTGATGTTATATTTGTTGTGCAGAGATAAAAAGAGAGATAAAAACCACTAAATTCTTCTCAGTTGTTTATTTTTGACAGATCTAACTCACGGTAATTTCGTACCGTGGGTTAAGTTCTCTGTTGGGTGTGTTATGTACTTCGCGAACAAAAATCTTGTTCACGGTCACGGAGAATCGCTCGCTATTGTGATTTGTACACGGATAAAAGAACGCCCATCACGCTTCGATTGAGGCATAAATATTCACTGTGTTTTCCCTCTTTACGCATAGCAAACCATGAATAATACCCTGATCTGTATAACGCAAGCATTGCCTATTCTCATGTTAATTGTTAATACCAAGCTTTGTCGCTGGGTTAGAATTGTACCAATCGCCTATAAATACGAACACTTGAGGGCGTATGTTATGTATTTATTTCACTTCTAATCATGCAAAATACAAAATCATAATTTTTCCCGCTGTAGAATAGTCAACAATTTAATTTACCCACAACTTGACCATAAAGAAATGTAAATTTTATATTTCACAACATGTATTTGTTTTATTCCTATTTTGTAAATAATTTTAATAACTGTGTGTTTTTTTTTTTCCTTTTTCTTTTTCTTTTTTTATTTAGATGTTTTTTATTTTGCATCAGGAAATTCCATAGGAGTGATGTTTTGCCCTACATGACGTGTTATCGTACTGAAATACTCAGTAACTCTCCAAATACTTGCAAAAAATCTCGTAAGTGATTAGGATGGGAATCGACCATTGAAATGACCTCCAGATAACTAGCCTAGTGCCATGACCACTAGACCACGCTTGCGCTAGTGACTAGTTTTGAATCCGATTAACAAGAATCCGATCCAAAAATAACTGCCCATTCTTGTAAATTGGCTAGTAGACGTTAAAACAGAGGAATATGTGAAAGTGAACAGAAAGACCCCCCCCCCCCACCAACTGACATTTGATCCCATCATGCCTTCTCTTTTATACGCGTTATGAATTCGCATTATGATTAGAAGCAGTAAATTTTACTTTTTTTGTGTGTATTTGCGGGTACAGCACTAGAATCCGATGCGCATATTGTACGCAGTTTGTGAGGTTCAGGAGATCTTCTTTGTGATCATGATGATGGTTGATAATGGCAAATGATTGTGATGGTATTTCATTCCCACGCGTACTGGTGTGTGCCACAAAAATCATCATCCTCATCATTAAGAACAACATCCTCCTCTCCATCATCTCCATCATCGTCTAAAAAAATATTAAAATCCAATCATGGCTCATTTCTCGTGATAAAATTTAGTTTTTTATACACAGTATCTATTTATTATTGGCTCGTTAAACGTCAAAGAGATAATAATAATAATAATAATAATAATAATAGTGTAGTTTTATATAGCGCACATATCCATCTAATGCAAGATGCTCAGGGCGCTTGATGTGTGGACTAGAATCTCGATCAATGACTTTCTTCGGCACTAAGGGTCCCTTCGTGTCTGTGCTACCCGGTAACCCGGTACCAGCAACTCACGTCGTCCACCACAGAGGCTGTCTGTTCCAGTACACCGGGGTATCCCCCTACTCGTCTCGAAGGATGTACTGGGTTCTTTATAGTGCACACGAGCCATTGTATACACTGGGCCTACGGTTTATAGTCCTTATCCGAGAAGACTTGTTCTACCACCAGAACCATAGGCGAGCGTGCCGTTCGAACCAGCGTCGATATTATAGCTATAGCTTGCGGTGCCCCTGCTAACCGCTCGGCCATTCGACTCACCGACTTCGAGATGAAGAAAAAAAAAAGAAAGTAGGGCTAGGACTGGAAATGAAGAAGAGAGGGAGAGAAGAAAAACAGAGGACGAAATTGGTAGAGTACTAGAAAACAGTAAACACATTTGACACCTTGCGAAATTCAAGACTAAACAAAAACAAAAATTATTTTTGCTAGTTTTATTTAAGTGGTCTTCACATTCCATGGTCAGAGGTAACGATTGTCAATCACGACGGGCGCTATTATCTACGAACCGTAATGTGATCACAGACGCTCACGCGGGAGTGACCCTATTGCAGACAGCACTGTATGTTTTGTAACGAATACTTGATACAAATCCCAATGAAAAGAACTTCATATAAACATTATAGAACTTTAATTTCACTGTAGCTATAGAAACAGATTCAAGAGTAGGTATATAAACGAAAATGTAAACATAGATTAAGGTAGTTGCCATTAGTATTGGAAAGCGAGGATTTCAGTAGCAATTTTCGGCATCAGGGATTATTTGACTATTTAGAGCAGAGTTAAAATACTACCGTAAGTATTATGCGCATTACTGGGGCTGTTTTAATTAAATTATATACGATGTAACTACATTATATTTCATAATACCTTTTGCTGTTTAATACAAGTTATGTAATTATGTTCGATGAACAATTTAATGAAACTATACCCTGAATATGTAATTGTTTGTATTGTTTTACACCATGAGTAAGATAGGGCCTAAGCCAATATTTTTATTTACAGGACAGAAATTAAACACATAGGGTCTAACTTTGGGTGTGCCGCTGTTTAGTCGTATAAAAGAAATCTAGTCCTACATAATTTGCAAGGCCAATACTACTTGAATTTTTCTTGTTTGTTTATCCTCGTCTTTTTAATCAACAGAATATATCCAGAATGTCAACAGGGAGCAGTATTCACCCCCGTGTGACCTTCAACAGCCCCTTGTGGCGAAAAGACTACATCAAGACCCCGACAAGTCCAGAGCCAACCTCTGAACAAATCAAGGAGATGGAAGATCGTTTCATATTGGACTGCATCATCGTCGAGAAGAAACGATACAAATGGAGTCCTGACATCATACCGAAATACGACGCTCTCAATGATAACTATGCGCGCGCTTACTTCCAGTCAAATTTAGTTCAACGTGTTTTAAAGAAGACTGTCTGGGGTCAAGGGGTAAGCTGATTGTTTTTTCATGATTATTAACTTGATGAGTTACATACTTCCATTTCTTGAGGCCCTAGTCCGAAGCTCGAAAATTATGCAACATGTGTTTGCCGTCATTACCATCAGGCCCGATTTGATCATATGCCTTATCATCAGCATCATCAATATTGTCATTATATCTTCAACCTCCTCCTCCACCTTCTCCTCCTCCTCTTCCTTATCACCATCTTGCTCCTGGGGCGAATGCAGAAGGGGTGCAGACGTTGCGAACGCACTCCCAAAATTGTATTAAGAAAAATAGATGTACGTGTATTGTGGATATCAATTACAGGTAAGACTTTTAAGGTATGAGAGTGCAATTTCCGGGTACGTTGAGGTCCATGTTCTCAAAATGTTCTCACCTCACCAAGTGGTTGATCCGGTCACTACAACTCTCACAAATCCTCCCCGCGGACTGTGGGCAGGTTTAGAGCTTTGATACCCCCAGCATAGAAATATACTATAGGTCCTTTACTAGACCTTCGTTAACCCCCTTGAGGGTAGGGTAGGGGAGGGAAAGCATTGGGAAAAAGTCAATAATTTTGTCCAAGAAGACTGCTCTGAAAAAAAAAATAATAATAATAAAAGAAAAAAAAAAAAACAAAAACATTTTTACCGCCCGATAGTGTTTTTTCCGAGCGTTTAGAAGTGCCTATTCTTAGCATTTACTCGCCTAACCCAAAACCATGCTGGCGTGGACTCCATATTGGTAATGTGCCCACATCGTCAGAATGTCTGGATCCGCCCTTGCAAACATGGTGGGCCTAAGGTTGCGTGGACTCTCATGCATCCCCCTACCGCCAAATCTGCATCCGCCCAAGTAGGCCTACTCTTATTCTCCTTCACTTCATATAACACTTTTTTCTATTTTATAAGAACCAGTAAAATTTTGCCCAGGCTCATGTTCTTATTTTATGGCTGATTTCTGGCTCAAAATGTTCTTAATTTGTTCTTATTTTACACACTTTTCAAACACAGAAAATTATATTGATCAGTAGTATACTACTGTAGATAAATTAAATGGCCACTGAAAAAAAGGCACCAGAAAAAATGGCCTCAGAAAAAATACCCGGTAAAAATGGCCCCAAATGACAGTTACACCTACTGTACCTGTCTCTTATACACATCTAGATGTGTATAAGAGACAGACATCCTCCTCTCCATCATCTCCATCCTC